GTTTTAGCCCTAAAGTTTGAAAATAATAATTCAAAAAAAGGTTGGTTGACTAAGTCAATTGTCAGAAAATACTAATTTTTTATCTAAAGGATGAAATCGGCCAGAGTGTTAAACATTGGGATGAAATTGACTACCTTAAAATACTTTAGGTTGACATCGACCCAAGAGTTCTCTGGGATTAAATTGGACATTTTTCTGTCGGTAAATACTAATTTGTGACTGGAATGATGAAATTGGTCGGAGTGTTAAACATTAGGAAGAAATTGACTACCTTAAAATACTTTAGGATGCAATTAATCAGAGGGCCAACCTTTAGGGCTAAATCAGCCATTTTTCCAGATTTCTGGTTATCTTATCTATTGAGAGCTTTTTCTTTTAAAAAAATCTATTGAGGGGCTATCTTATCTCTTATCTCTACTAGATATTATATCATCGGAAACGTGCATGATAACTTAAAATCATATGTACATAATCTTTTTTGTATGTTTGTCACAAAATTGTGAGCCGATAAAATTTAATTGGAAAATACTTATCAATTAGATGCCGTAAATTTTTAATTTAACTTTCTAATTTAATTCATTTACACGTTTAACAAAATAAATTTAATTAACTTATGTACAGTAATTTGTGTGATTATATGCATCCCTTTAACCGAATTGATAGCAAAAGTAATCAAATGAATCTATTATAATTTTTTTTTTTTTGAGATAAGTGGAAGGATGGGATGATGATTATCTGTACCTAATTTTATTTATCTCAACAAATATGTGAAGATTATCATAGGAGATTTTTTTTTCAATAATTTCGTTTAAAAATTAGAGTGAACCTCAAAACAAGTCATCAACCTTTAATATATTTCCACTCTAGGTCATCAATTAAATTTAATTTGTAACACAGGTTACCTTACTAAAGTTTTAATCCATTTCAAATTATTCTGTTATTTTTTGCCGTTAAATAGTGACGGAAATCTATTTTTCATATGTTTTTGGGTTCAGGGGTATTTTTGTCATTTTCTTATTTTTTTCATTTTTTAATCTTTTAATTTTTTTTTTACAATTCATCTTCTTATGCTTCCTAACTTGTATATACTGGTAGTATAATTTTAAATTTTAAGAATTTATTTTTATTTTGTATTTTAACTTCTAGATTATAAATTCTTTGTAAAAAAATTTCAGAAATGAAGAAGAAAACTTCGAGTTAAAGTAAAAATGAAAATAAATAATTTACCATTTAAAAAAAAAGAAAAATTAAAATAATTAGCTAAGACAAGTTGTTTCTTCTAGGTTATTTAATTTTTTTCAACTCGATTGATTTACTTATTAATTTTCATGTTTCTTATTCCTTTTTTTTTAATAATCTATAAGTTAATATACAAATAACAAATTAATATTTCAAAAATGAATTTTTTTGTCATTTTTATCTTAACTTCTAGATTATAAAAAAAAATGAATAAGAAACGTGAAAATCAATAATTAAATAATTCAATCGAGTTGAAAAAAAATAAATAACCTAGAAGAAACAACTTGTCTTAGCTAATTATTTTAGTTTTTTTTTTCTTTAAAATGGTAAATTATTAATTTTTATGTTTACTTTAATTCGAATTTTTCTTCTTTATTTCTTAAATTTTTTAAAAATTTATAATCTAGAAGTTAAAATACAAAAGGAAAATAAATTTTTAAAATTTAGAATTATACTACCAGTGTATACAAGTTAGGAAGTATAAGAAGAAGAATTGTCAAAAAAAAATTAAAAGATTAAAAAATAAAAAAAATAATAAAATGACAAAAATACCCCTGAACCTAAAAGCATGTGAAAAATGGATTTCCATCACTATTTAACGGCCAAAATTAACAGAATAATCTGAAATGGATTAAAACTTTAGTAAGGTAACCTGTGTTACAAATAAATTTAATTGATGACCTAGAGTAAAAATATATTAAAGATTGATGACTTGTTTTGAGGTTCACTCTAAAAATTAATACAAAAGTTCAGCAAAAATCTAACTTCTCCATGCCTTTATTCAGTGGGAAAAAAATTACTAGGATGACATGATTTATATAATTATGATTTCATTCTTATTTACCTACCCCTTCTCTCGATTCTGAATTTTTTTTTTTTTTTGTATACACTCTTATTTGTGATGATGTGTTTTTAATCTATCAAATAATGTTTTTTGTTCATTGATTATTTTACTAGAAATTATTGAGAGCCAGTCTTGATATATAACTAGTTTATACATGTGCGTTGCACGGATTGACAGATCATTATTATTTAAATATCGTGTGATAATATTTTATAATTGTGAAATTTTCAGCGTTGACGCAGTAAACAACGGAATGTTATAGTAAAAAACTTTTGTGTACAATAGTTGGCTGAATGACGTAATCACCAACTTGAAATCTGTTACCGTTACACAACCCATCTAGGAGGTCTAGATTCAAAGAAGCTTGACCGCTACCCCTTTTTCAATGTCAATTTTGGTTTGACATACCAGAATACCTTATTCACTAAGGAATTCAAGAGTATATACTATTGTTTTTATTATTGACAGACTTTTTACTTTGTTCAAGACTATAGAGAAATGTAATAAACCTTTATATCTCCAGTAAATAATGAAAGCATACAGCCATTAAAAATATTGAAAAGTGAATATTCCCCAAATTAAATACTATCATACAATTACATGAGATTCAAATTTCAATAAATTAAGATCTGGGGTTACACTATCTAAATATCTAGTTAATGAGAAAAGATAAATTTAAAATTAAATTCTATGAAAACACGTTTCTTCTTATGATTACATGTCCAATTCCAATTTGTGGTTATTAAGTCAAACTACAAAAAATTTGCCATTCAATGACACAAAATACCAATATTTTTTAGATGTATATATTTATGGTAGTTTTGGACTAAAACACGAGTATTCATCATTTTTGTTTTTTGATACATGAACTTTTTTGGTGAAATCCATAAAATATTTTTGGGAGAATTTTGATCAAGGGCATTAGAAAGATGATAATTATTATAAATGGCATGGAATGTATTAATTCGTTATCATAAATTTTAAAAGTCTTTTAATATTCTTTTACGACTGAAAAGACTATATCATCCTTAATTAGCCATCATAATTTCCCAACGAGTAAATTACATCTTCTCTTAATTATACATCAAATCGGCGACTAAGGAAGCTTAAATCATGCCCAAGAATCCAAACGAGGCAGGAAGCACATGGAGTAAAACTGAAAAGTTGACTTCCAATCAAAATCGAAACGAAACTTTCACTTTGATAACTTTTTTCTCATCTAATTGTCTTCTGAGATGAATTCGTTTCACTTTTTTTTGTCGCTATAGAAATTCCATGATGTTCTAGAGATATAACTCTATGTTATAGAAGAACTCCGTTTTCAAAGAGATCAAACTGGTTTCAAGAAGCCCAAAATTGGTCCTTGATTAGAAATTTTGTCGAAGAAGTGAATCATTGAATTGATGAAACATAGTAATAAATTCATCCATGAAGAACTTTTATACGACATGACCAAATTAAAATAAATAAAAAAATAAAATACGATATGACCGAATTTGGGAAAAACTCACTCAATTTTGATCTTTCCTTCATCATTGCACTTTGATTTTCCCAGAAATTTTGATGTTTTCTACATCAACAGACTTTGAATTTCCTCGAGGATTTGGGACAAATTATGTTTAAAATCCAAAGAAATAACAATTAATGGAAAGGAATATGGAAGTAAGAATAGTGAACAATTTTTGGGTTCTTTTGTTAAAAAGCTGCCCAGAAAAAGGAGTAGAGAGATATATTGATCTCCTTTTCTAGTAAAGATAATTACCAAGATCTGATCTAATAAAATAATATATTTTTTGTGTGGAAAATACATGTGAAAATAATAGGGAGAATGGTCAAATCATGAACAGTACAATGTCGGATTTTATATATCGGACCTTCCATTTATTAAATAAGAGATAAAATATGGGAGGGGGGGGGGAGAGATTTGAAAATTCAAGGTCGGATTACCAACCAGCAGATATTTGCATTTAATTGAGGGAATTGGCGGGCAAAAGGTCGGATTTCACAAATCCGAGTTTGTATGTACTCGGATTTTATAAATCCAATTTAACTTTAAGGTCGGATTTTACAAATCCGACTTCTTGGTGATATAATGGGAAAACAAAAAACACTATTCACAGATCGGGATTCTTTATTTTTTCTTGAAGGAGGTGGCGATTTGAATTTTTGTCACGATTTTTTGCAACGGATGTCTTAAATCCATTTCACAAGAAGGTTAGTTATTGTTTTGATGGTTTTTAGATTATTCTTGTTGTTTTTTTGTAGAAGTATAGAACTAGGAATGTTTATAAGGGTTTAGGGTTAATGTTTGGTTTAGTTGGTGATTTTTGTTGTTGTATACATAGTATTGAACGTTCAATGTAGTAAATTGCTTGAATTTGCCATCAACTTTTGAATTTGTAGGGGTTTAGTAAATTTGGTGTTGATTATGCCTTGTTTGGGGTATTTTTGGTAAAAATTTGTTTGATTATGCCTTTTTAAGGGTAAGTTTGGTAATAATTTGTTCACAAATGTGCTTTAATTCATGTAATCAACAGATAGAAATGGCGTTTAATGGTCCATATTTCATTTATGTGTATTGGCCGAGCAAGTTTGTTGTGAAATAGATTTTTGAATACATTTAACAATTTTCCAGACGATTCCATAGTGATTGATCATAAGGTATCATGCTATGACTTGGTTAGATTGATTTGTGAAAGAGCAAGGTGAAATATAAGGAATGTGAATTTTCTATCACTTTTGTATGATATGATGGGCAATGGTTTTAGGTGTATCGCCAAAATAAGGACGAACTATCGTTGCAAGTCTTGTATTTTCCTTCTAAAATTCGTCATATATTGATTTATATGTGGATTTGGAGGTGGCGGGTATTTCTAGGTCCCATTTAGAAGCAGGGACAAGTAGTAGTGGGCCGAATATGAAAAATGTCGATCACATGGATTATGATGATATGGGTGGGCCGAATATGGAGGATGGCGATCACATGGAATATGATCACACGAAAGATGATGACTTAAAAGACAATGACTACACATCGATAAGTGAACCAAGTGATGAAGACCAATCAATATCGAAAGGGAGCGCGGGGAGTGATGAAGAGGTTGAAGACAAATTCGCCACAAAGGACCAGCACATACATCATTCACATGGTACATGGGATCATACAAGTGTGGACAAGGATGAATTTCATCTTACTATGTAGGACAGGACAACCGCAACAATTGGAAAAGGAACGTGTTTCAAGACCAAGATCGATGCAAGAAATGGCATCAGAGTGTGGAACATAGAGCAAAAAGAGAGTATTATTTGAAGGAAAGTGATGGCAAGACATGGTATATTTGGTGCAAATCCCTAAAAGAGTCAACCCCTAAGGGCTATGTTCCTTGTCGTTGGAAGATACGTGCCTCGGTGAGAGATCACGGTTTGTGCAGATTGTGACATGGGTGTCCGAGCACAATTGCATGAATGCCATCGCGGAAAATAATAATCAGAATGTGAGCACAACGCTTATTGCTTATCACATAAGGAATAAGTTTGAGTTGGACCCTGATTATGAAGTGAAGCTCATTCAGGAAGAAGTTAAAGACCAAATACATGTTGATGTTCCTTACCACAGGGCATGGGAGGGAAGGAAAAAAGCTATCGATCTTGTTTACGGTGATTGGATTTCCAATTTTGATATACTTCCAAGGTATTTACTTAATTCCTCTCTAGTTTGTTTGATTTGTTCATAATTTTCTTTTAAAATAGGCATGAATTTTTTAAAAAATTTAGATATTTTATCGCCCTTGTGAAGAGCAACCCGAGCACAGTTGTAGAGTGGGAATGGCAACCGGGTGGACCAATAAAGAAAAGACGTTCAAATATGTTTTTTGGGCATTCAAGCCTGCAATTGTTTGCTTTGCAAAATATCCTCTAGTGATTAGTATCGATGGGACGTACTTGCGTGGTGGATACAAAGGGAAGTTACTTGCTGCAATGGTCAAAACTGCGAATAAGCACCCTGCCAATTGCATATGCGATTGTGGATGAAGAGAGTGATGGAAGTTGGCCATTCTTCTTGAAGAATTTGAGGAATCATGTTATATACGATCATACGGTGTGTGTTATATCCGATCGGCACAAAGGTATAATCAGTGCAATAAGCCAAATGCCCAAATGGAATGCACACCACCAGTTTTGCATTCGTCACATCTGGAGTAACTTGGTGGCTCACTTTCGAAGTAGAAAGATCAAGAGGTTGTGTTGGGACATGGGCTCAAAACCTTCAAAGACTAAATTCAAATAACTAAGGCAAGAGCTACGTGACTTTGATAATGACGCATATTTGTATCTCGAGGAGATTGATGCTTGCCAGTGGACTCTTGCAAAAGACAAATACTATCGCTGGGGTAACCAGACAACCCACATTTCTGAGACTTACAACAACGTCCTCAAGGGTGTTCCTTTCTTGCCGATCCGAGCTTTGGTGGAAGCCACTTTTTTGAAGATTGTGGATTTGTTCCAGGAAGAATACGTGAAGTCGAGGAAATGCATTACGCCGATCCCAATCGACTTGTGGGAAAACTTCAAGAAAAAAGAAAAGAAAGTCGTGCAACACAAAGTCAATCGTTACGGTGCTGTTAATGGCAAGTTCAAGGTGAAAAGGAAAAGGCCGCTTTGTGGTGAAGGTGACAACGCGTACACTGTGAAATATGAAGAGAAGAAGTGTTCTTGCAAGAAGTGGCATGAGTACAGGATCCACATTTCAGGGTTGTGGCTTGGCAAGACCAATTCAGGGAGCACGACGAGTTTACCCTGGTCCATGATAAGAAAAGATGGCCTAAGGTTGGATGGAGACTCATTCCTAACTACGAGAGGGTTATTGTGCATGTTGGGCCCGGTCGTTGGCAAAAAACGAGATGTAAAATGTAAATGGATTACAGGGGACGCAACGCGAGGAGTGAATGTTTGAGATGTGGCTCAAGGAATCATTTCACATCTGCATTCCCGAAATCATACAAAAAATCCGATAGGACGAGGCTCAATATCAATTGGGACGCCGGTGGTATTCACAATGACTAAGATTGTTTGTTTCAATTGGTGTTTATGTCTCAAAAGAATGCTTAATGTTTGAATTGTATTTTATGCTTTAGTTCGTCTGAATCATAGTTTATGCTTAATGTAATAGTTCGTGGAATGAACAAGTTATTGTTGTTGTGAAATGGACCAATGGAGAGGTCAAATTTTGTGGTTGATGTTAGTACTTGTTAAAAAAAAGGGTAGGTGCAATCAAGTGTGTTTATAGTTTTAGGGTATAAGTCGGACTCAGAAAATCCGTATTACGGCATAAAATCGGATTTACTAAATCCGATTTTTTTTTATACAGAATCAGATTTTTACTACTATTCGACAAAAGTCGGGTTTTGAAAATCTGACTTTTTGTGAAAATCAGATTTGGGAACGAAGGTCAGATCTTGGTGAAAATTTAGGGCTTGTTTCCAAAACTCTCTATCCAAGCCTTTACCTATTGAGAAAAGGCAGGATTTCTAAAATCTGACCATCGGGGAGTATATAAAGGTTTGACCAAATATTGGGGGAGTCAAAATCGACTCCCCTTCTTCTCCAACCCTAACCCGACTCCCCTAGGCGGCGAAGCCATCTAATCCGTCGAGTTCCACCCCCTCCCAGTGACCCACCACCATTAATTCTCTCCCCAGCAACCCCCATCGACTCCCGCGACTCCCTCTCGGCGTAATTCCCCTTCTTCTCCCACCCTAAACCCAAATCCCCCTCCATGGAATCCGGCATAATCCCGACATAATCCTCCTCCAACGTCGACCCCCTTCTACCCCTCCCCACATAATCATCCTTTGCAGCGGCCACTCCCTCTTCCCGGCTTCAAGTCCCTCTTCCCGGCGTCCTATCTTCCCGGCGTCCAATCCTCCATTTCTTCCAGTAAGTTTTTTGGTCGTTTTTTTTTTTAAATTTTTCTTGTATTTGTTCTATATTGAATCATTGGTGATGTTGTTGGTTAATTTGTAGTATTAGTTTTTTTTATTTGTTGGATTTTTTTATTAGTATTGTGGTATTAGTTATTTGTTGGATAATATAAATGTATTGAATTATTATAATATTAGCTCTAAATTTAATTAATTTATGAATGTGAATAATTGTAGAATTAAAAAATGGCGAGTTTGAGCTCCTCGCAACCTAGAATGCAACATTTTCAATCGGCTCCAATAAATGATGAATTATTATACCTCTATGAAGAGCATAGGGCGAAAGCCATATTTGATAACATAGAGGGGTATACGGATAGCCAACTTAAAGGTAGAAGATTTGATAGCCACTTTTGGAAGGCTTTAAATAATAAGACCGGCAATTGCCCTACACAAGTTTTTTTTTCCTCCACAAGTTATATCGGAGATAGACCGAGCAGGTTTTGGGGGGTGATTAGAATAGGTAATATTTAAGCCGACAATACTTTGATCACCGCATTGGTTGAGCGGTGGCATCCTGAAACCCATACATTTCATTTTCATTTTGGCGAGGCTACTGTCACTCTCGAAGATGTTGAGGTGTTGTTCGGTCTGAGAGTGGATGGCAAGGCGGTGATAGGGATGACACATGAGAATACTAAGGCCCAGTGGATGGCGATTTGCTTTAGATTGTTTGGATTTACACCCGCTTTAGACATGTTTGATGGAATAAGCTTTTTGCGGAGTGTTTATTTAATGAGTGCAATCGTAGGATCCCAGCTGACGCTCCGGGAGAGGCCTATATACAGAGGGCCCGTGTCTTGATTTCCTGCTATTTGGCTCTTTCTTGTTTGCTGACAATACTAAGAACATGATACCTCTTTACCACTTGTCTTTTCTAGAGGATTTAGATGCCTATGTTACCTTTAGCCGGGGGTCAGCAGTGTTGGCAGCATCATACTTTGGTTTGTGTAGGGCTTCCGCGGCCGATAAGCATGAAATTACCGGATGTTATATTTTGTTGCAGGTTTTTTTTTTCTTTGATTATTTGTATTCTTTTTTTGTTATATTTTTATTCTTTATTCTAACTTTATGCTTTTTTGTTTGTTGATGCTTTTAGTTATGGGCTTGGGAGCGCATTCCAAGAATTCAACCAAAGAGGAAAGTTAAAAATGAAAGTTATTTGATTCTGGGCGCTCTATTGGCCAATAGGTAATCATAGATTTATTTTATTATTTCTCAGTGATTATTTCTTTTTATATGTACTTTGGATATGATTTAATTTTTATTAATCTAACTAAAATTTCGTTCCTCCATAGGTGGAAATGCCCAAAATCCAAAGTAAACATCACCGCTCATATTGTTTCTGGCATCAGGGATCAATTATCTAGTCTCAGGGATGGTGATGTAAGTTTTAACTTTTATTGCTCGATTAAAAATTCTTTATCTATTTTTCTATTTTTTTACTAATTTTTTCATCAAATATATATATATATATATATTTTAAAAAAATTTCAATCTTTGGCAGTTTTTATGGAGTCCATACACTCCCTTCATCAACGCTCTCCCCAATTTGTGTAAAGCGGGGACTCATGTCTACCTCTCCAGGACGTGGTTTTTTGATTGGGTCATGAGAGAACTATACAAGCCCAATCAGGTCCTTGTCAGTTTTGGTGTAAGCAAGATACACCTGAGGCCATGTTTATCCGTGGTCTTGATCGCTGGAAGGCAATACATTAGGGGGAAGAACTGACCGGAAAGGCATACGATGACTAGGCGTAAAAACACTCCGAGGTAACTCCTCATTGGAATTTGAGAGAATAGCACGTGGTCCCTCATGAATTAGTTGATCTGGCTCTAGGTCCTCAGTGCACAGTAGACTACATGACGTGGTTTCAAAGGAAGACTGTCAGATTCATCACTGATCCGACCCAGTATGGCAGTCTGACACAGGGTTATCAGCCCTCTTTGTCCCGAGAGAAATTTTATGTAAGATTTATTAAGTCACTACTTTAATTAACAATTTCTTTTCATTTTTTTCCTACATCTTATATTTTGTTGATGTGTGGTTCAAATTTTTCAGGTTGAAGGTCTCAGCGACATATATCATATCGCTGAATCCACCTCAGGGGAAAATCCAGCCCTCAGTGGTAATCTCGAAAAGAATCTTATTGACATTGTCGATAAGAGTTTCAGTGCACTGATTTTAGCCCCAAATAATATGAACACTCAATATGATAGTGAGGTTCTTCAGAAAAGGAGCTTGGAGTCAAGTCAATTTATTAAGCTCGCGTAGAAAACAACATCTCAGCCTACTGGAGAAGGAAGGAGGAGGCGAGAATCGGTAAACGAGGATCGAGCATTGATAGTTCATCCCATTCCATCTCAAGATGATGGAGACAGTGAGAACGATGAAGATTATAGGGGTGAGGAACAACAACAAGAAGAAGAGTCTCCACCTTGTGCTTCTTCCCACAAAAAAAGAAAAAAAAACAGCTTATATTCGCAAAAGTGATAGGGCTAGCAAAGCGATCGACAAGTATACTCCTGGTTCTATTGGGGTAAAAGGAAGTTTAGGGCATCCAAATAATTTCATTGTAGGACTCTTTGATGTGTATTAGAGGTAAATTGGATGTTTTCATGGTTTTGAACTCGTTAATGTTTATTAGTTGTAATTTGGATGATTTTAGAATTTGAATGCTTTTGGACTAGTTAATGTTTATTACGATGTGTTTCAAACGTGTTTTCAGATAATGCCATATGTGAAATTTGGTTTTGGTGTTGTTATAGGTTGGAATTAGTTTAGAAACCAATTTTTTTTTTTCAAACTTTCTGTCCGAGGTCGGATTTCAGAAATCCGACCTTGTTACTGTTCAACTAACCCAGATTTCCCAAATCCGACCTTGTCTCTGTTCAACTGACACAGATTTTAGAAATCCGACTTTTTTGCTATCTAACAATAAATCAGATTTCTGAAATTCGATTTTGGCTAACATTTCATTTTTGCAAAAATCCTAAGTATTTTTCTTAATAACATTCTTTTTTATTAGGTCCGAAACCCGACCTTGTGTTAATCATGATTAATGTATTTAATTTTCTATATTAAAGGAAATCGGATTTAAGGAATCCGACTTTATGTTAAAATCGAATTTAGGAAATCCGATGTCGTTAATTTTTTCTTCTGTAAAATTCGACTTATATTTCTCTTTACTCCTATTTGTAGGCCATTTTTTTCCACAAAAACTCAGCAATTTTCCTTCAGAGTAGAATATTAGATCAAATAGTCGTCTAAATTTGACTGTTTTCCAGTAAACGGAGTCCTTTGCCGACGAGATGATAGAAACACCTATCATCCTTTACCCACAGTGCCTAAGAGGGTAAAGAAGTCATTTGATAGATGACAAAATATTAAAATTATTTTATAAATCATAATAACGAATCAATGAAGTTCATGCCCTCCGCGACAATTTTTATTTTTCCGATGCCCTGAATCAAAATTTTCTCAATATTTTTCAACAAGCGAAAAAACATAATAAGATAAATCAGTCTTTGTCTTTTCTGACACTGAAACACTCACATGATAAATCCAATATCCGGAATCTTACTATATTAGAAACAAAAACCACACTTTAGAGAAAGCACCACCATTTGCCATGTGGCATTTTCACATCATATTTTTAAAATAAATTTTTATTTACACATCAGTTCCCTAGACTTAAAAGGCAAATGCAGTCCAAATCTACCACCACCTCCTATTTTCGGCAAAACAAAAAAAAAACACGGCTTCATAAAAATCACAAATCCTCATCTCCATCTCCACGACAATTGACTCCCTAATCAATCCCTTCTCCACAATAAAAAAAAAAAAAACAAATTCCTCATCAATCATCAATTGATAATATGTGGTGAAATATACTTCTTTCCTATTAGCATGTTCAATCTTTTCATTAGTGATGATCAACTACATCCTAATCAGATAAAATTTTAACTTCAAAAAATATGCTCTTTACCTCTCTATATAAACAAAAAAGGGAAAAAAAATTCTCATTGATGTTGCTTTTGGCCGTTGTGGTGGTGCCATTACAGATATTAAAATTTAAATGATTTTATATCCACAGATCATTTGTACGGCTTTTATTATTTTTTGTTTTTCCCGTTCAAGAATAGTGTTATTACTATCATTTTTATGCGTCCACCCGTTACAGCTACCATAGCCGTTGCCAGGTAATATGATGTGATTTCTTATATGGTTAGTCAACTTAGAATTTTTGTATGGTTTTAGTTCTGTTTGAATTGAATTGATCAATTGGGTTTTTGTCACAAAGTGTGGTTTTTTTAATTTTCTTTTTATGTTTTATTCATTTAGAGTGGTTTTCCTTTTTTTAATTATGGAGTCTCAGTTTTATTTTTCGTATATGGTCAGTTATGAATTGTGTTTTTTCTTTGTTTAATTGCTTTTGATTTTGTTTCATACTCCTAGTTGACCAATTATTATTATTATTATTATTATTATTATTATTATTATTATTATTATTATTATTATTATTACAAATGAAGCGCGTTTTTTTTGTTTTTGTGTTCGGACTTTCAAAAATATACTTTTTTGGATTTGGTTTTTGGACTTTTTTAAATTACTCATCATATAAATGGTTCAGGTCGCTTCTTCTAATTAATTTATGGGGAAGCCTTTTATGAATTTGAGGTGGGGAGGGAAGGAATGATGTTTCTATGTTTATTTGTGTTTTATATATCATTTTTACCTACATGAAAAAAAAAAAAATTTCTCAATTTTTAATGGACTCTTTTACTTATTTTTTTTTATTTGCCATGGTGAGGTGAGTTCTTTTTTGCTATAACTTGAAACCTATGCAAATTTACATTAATTTTCATTCTCATATTTGTGATCAACCAGTTTCAACAATTAATCAGTTTCAAAATTATATTTTTGATATTTTACTAGCTATAAGCCTTTGGAAGAAACAGTTCCAACAATTAAACGTATACCCTTCGGAGGAAGCTTACTACAAAGCTATTATAAATCTCCAAAACCAAATATTGATTTGGCACGACAAATGGAGAACATCAATAAATCATCTTACTAATATTTAAACTTATTAGGATACTTTTATATTTTGTCTAACATTTACTTCAAGAGATATACTTGATCAATTTTATTTATATTTAATAAGTAACACTTATAAAATATTTCTAAAATATTCAAACATTTCTAAAACGTACCGGGCCAAATACACTTTCTTTTTTTTGCCAATATACAAAACATTTCTATGATTACACTTATAAAACATTTCTAAATTCTTCAAACATTTCTAAAGTATATCGGGCCAAATGTAAAATATATTTTTTTAAATACAAACATTTTTAAGATCTACAAATATACTGGAATGCGCGACCAGACATCATTAGTCTAACAATATAACAATTTGCAAGTAATTTCAAATGGAGTTCTTTTTATTCTTTTTTTTAAAATAACTTCATAATTACTACTTAATTGGAGGACATCAATAACTTATTTATAAAAATACTGAACATATCCATAGCTTCTATCCCATCGACTCGTTATGATATTCTTCATTTTCCCTAACTATTATTACTAGTATTTACCCGCGCGTTGCATAATTATAGATTAGTTACATAATTCAATATGTGGTTTTGCTGATAATTGTTTTTCCCCAATTGGGTTGAATGAGCAGCAATAATATTTTTCTTTTAGGAAAATATGAGAGCAAGTATAAACCTCAATTTTTCCGAAAAACAATACTCATATACAATTATTGAATTAATGAAGAAATGTTACCCAAAATAAATAAATGAAGAAATAGTAAACCAAAAAATAAATAAATAATAAAATTGAGCTCATCATCCAGCTCTGATTGAATTCACATCATCCATAGATTATCTCGATCTACACGTGTATGATCCAAAGCAAAAAATTTATTTCCGTGAGAGAAAAAAACACAAAAAAAAAACAAAAACACAAAAAACATTTAATATATTAACAAACTTAAAAAACACAGTCCCACAGCTTTCAGTTCTGAAACTCCAAAGTCTCATTCCAAGCCTCTGTCACTCTGTAGTCTGCACCGCTTTGATCTCTCCGCCAAACCTCAGACACCCTGTAAAAACCCATTTGAATTTAAGCCATTGTTGTTGTTAGACAGCATATTCTGATCCCCTTTAATGGGCAATGCTCCCAACTCGTTTTTCTTTGCTGCTTCAAATGAATAGCATCTGAATTGGTTTGATACATGCTTTCTATACACTCTGTTTAAAAGGGTACGCCACTCTTTTGTTGATCCTGTTTTATTTTTTTATTTTTTTTCCGCACCTGAATTCGTGGTTTCTTGAAATGGGTTCGTGCCTGTTGTTTTAATTTTGGCGTCTTCAGTGTTTTTAGTTTTGGCATGTGGCTTGTTTTCAATTGTTGATTGATATGTGTGTGTATATATGGGTTTTGGGCAATATTTTTGTTCGTTTTGGATGAGGTTTATATCAGGTTGTTCTGCAATGTTGTAGCTTAATCTTGTTGGTAAAATGTTGATTCTATGTCGCTTCTTGGAATTCGAATAGAATTTATGAGCTAAAAATCTACACTTTGAGTCTCTTGTGTTATCTCAGCTATGATCATAGTTGGTTCTTTGTGTAAGCTTATGCTATATCATGTCTGGCTAGTTTGTTTCAAGAGCTTATTATGTTAGCATTGAATGAGAATGTAAGTTTATGGACAAAATGTTTCCCCACATATGTAAAGAACTAATTTTCATTTCCTCCAGGGGAAAAAAAATGAAAAAAGGAAACAATGACATTCTGCAAATCATAAGAACGAATTATTTGAATATATCCAGTCCTTCTGTTGGGTAGTTTGCCTTTTCTCGCCAATCTTCTTCAGTAACTAAAGCATGGAATAATTATAGCGGTTTGGCTGAAAGCAGATTTCTGTTTGATTTTTGCATCACTGATACATACGGATTCATGCATTTGGCTAGAAACAGGGAAGATCAATCGAATTTTATTTGATTTTTCACATAATAATGGGGTTTAAAATTTGAGGGAGAAAGCCACAGCCTCGTGAAGCATTGAAATTTTTAGGTTTCAAAAGTGTTTAACGGGGACTCGGATTTCATTGTTTTTCTAGGAAGGTCATTAAAGGGGGGAAAAAAATTGAAAAAGAGCTTTCAGCTATATTTGTATTAGTGACGGAAGATTCTGTTGATTAACTCGAGAAGAAAAACAATGTTCCTTGCTTCCATAGCAGGTCAAAAGTGTATGAAGGGAACTGATGTTCACTGTGTTTTCTTGAAGGGACAAAAGAAAAAGCTGGTTTCCACTCTATTTGTATTAGTGAGGGACGATTTTGTTTATAAACTCAGGAAAATAAACAGATTTTCTTGATTCTTTAGTTGGTCAAAATTTGAAGCTCCATTTATATCTTGTTTCAGGGTTCCCTGCTTGACATTATCTTATTGGTTTTTAACATACTTTTCATGAATATATCTTCTGTTTCTGATTCTTTAGTGATAGAACATGACACTTTGTTTTCTATCTTTTGTTATTGCATTTTTAGGTGAAAGTGTCCCTATTGACTTATACATTATTCTTCAGTTAGCTGTTACACATGTGTTTCTGTACTTCAGCGCAGTTGTTAATGACCATTTTAATCTTTATTAGCTTCTTTCAGGGTTGGATAGAGAAACCTGACAGATGGGTGCTTATATGGTTGGTGTCCTTGTCCCTCTTGTATTTACTCTTCTACTGAGGAGTTCGAAGAATGGTAAAAAGCGGGGTGTGCCAGTTGATGTTGGCGGGGAACCTGGTTATGCAATTCGGAACTGTCGGTTTCCTGTACCAGTGGAAAGTGCTTGGGAAGGGATTACAACTCTTGCCGAGCTTTTTGAGGAAGCATGCAAGCAACATTTTGACAGAAGGTTACTGGGAACTCGGAAATTGATATCGCGGGAAATTGAAAAATCTGAGGGTGGAAGGTCCTTTGAGAAGCTTCACCTGGGTGATTATGAGTGGCTAACTTATGGCCAAGCCTTTGAAGCTGTCTGTAGTTTTGCTTCTGGCTTGGTGAAACTTGGTCATGGAAGGGAAGAACGTGTAGCAATTTTTGCTGATACATGCCAGGAGTGGTTTATTGCACTACAGGTATGTGTGTCCTGCTGCATCAAAAGAATAGTATAACGATGCTCCTGCAGCCCTGTTATGTTCTTGATATAGTTGCAATTATCCAAGTTTCATACCTATAATCCAGTAATCATGTTTTTGCAAATGATGCAGTTCATTTAACTAGTTTACCGGCCTTGTTTTGATGTGACAGTGGCATTTGTTTCTTTCCATCTACCCTTTTTCTAATGGTTTTTATGATTGACTCTTCAATTAGGGTTGTTTCAGACGTAATGTCACTGTTGTGACCATATATGCATCTCTGGGTGAGGAAGCTCTGTGTCATTCGTTGAATGAGGTACGCCGTTGTTTCTTTTAAATCCTTAAATATGTCATGTGTATATTAAAACCTTCATCTGAATGACATTATATACATTGATTAAACTACACATAAATGTCAAGATCACATTGACGCAGAGAGTCTTATTCGATGTTACCTGGTGTCTTTGATTAATCAGTGCATCCAATCTAAAAAATCCTGATCAAGCAGTGATCTTTGTCCTGACCGGACAGGATGATAATATGCACAGAACTATATTTATAACCTCAATTTCAATAGTGAAATATTGAGCATCCATCGAAGCATAGTTCTCAAGCAAATGGTCATAACCTTTTAAAAGTAACTTTCTCTGCATGACTATTGAGTGCAAATAGTTGCTTAATATTCTGTAGCTTTCTGTTTATTAGAGGTTAATATCACAACTGTTGGAGTTTTCGAACACTTAAAGTGATTGCTAGTTCGTTTATAATCAGAAGACACTTCTGTTATTTAGCCATCTCTTGGCACTTCCTTGGAGGGAATAAAACTGGCCAGCTACTTCACATGGCTGAGTCTACCTTTAGAGGTTGATGAAGTATTGCTCATTTAGTTACTACCATATGACCTTTTGGCTGAGCATTGGTATTAATCTAAGATGTAAAATTGCTTCTGGTATTAATCATGGGACATGGCTCACTTCATGTTCTTGATGCTTTCTGGTATTCTCGTGTCAGATATATTCTATGCTCAGAATCTCTACTCCCATCTTGCAACTTGGTACTATTTACATCCATGTGCTGCAATTTTTTTTACTCATACTGTCCAGATGGAATATTGCATTCCAGTAGTTGTTTTGGAAATGGTTATCTTGACAGTAAAGAAGCAAAAAGTTCTTTCTTTTCATTTTTTGTTTTCGTTTTGCTACTATGCTGAAAGTCATATCATCTCATTTATAATGCTTATCCATTTGTCAGACTGAAGTTACAACTGTTATTTGTGGCCAAAAAGAACTGAAGAAAGTAATAGATATTAGCGGGCAACTTGACACAGTGAAACGCATAATAAGCATTGATGGCGAACTTCCACCAAATGCAGAGTCTGTTCCTGCTAGTGTTAGCTGGACACTTACATCCTTTTCTGATGTTTTAAGGCTTGGTCAACAAAATTCCGTCGATCCTGAATTACCTCTTCCTGCTGATGTGGCAGTTATTATGTATACTAGCGGCAGTACTGGTCTGCCAAAGGTTGGTTAAGATTTCATCTTGGCAAGTTTCTATTACGTTGCATGCTTATTTTGGTACATGGGCTGAGAGGGGATTCAATCTGATTCTCTACTTCTCTTGAAATCTGCTATTGGTTGGTTCCCTTTTGTTTCAAATTTGAAATTGGAGCTTCCATTTCTGCCATTTATTGTAATGTTCTTGTACTTCAGTAACTAAGGCAATAATCTATAGCGAGAATATTGTGTGCTTTGACTATGGATGTAATTGTTGCCAGTAAAAAAAAAAGGTGCTAGTTCAGTTGACCTTATTAGTCTTTATCCCTATTTGAAATTATTTTCTCTCAAATTGCGGAGTTAAGAGTATGTATAAGAAAAGGTAAAAAGAAAGGAAAGCAATGCCTGCCTTGTTGATTAGATAATGTAGAAGATATATTACGTATTTTACTCATCATTAAATAACATCCATTTTGCAGGGTGTAATGATGACACATAAGAATATTTTGGCTACGGGTTCTGCTGTTTTGACCATTGTTCCTAATCTGGGAACCAAAGATGTTTATATGGCATATCTACCCCTGGCTCATATTCTAGAACTAGCGGCTGAGGTATTGCTTTTTCTGCATCGAGGAAAGAATTATCTGAGTCAATGTTGTTTGAGTTCGTTTATTCATGGAGAGGAGTAACAACATAGTGAGTTAACAACTGACAATTGCTGAAAATTGTTATTTGGTACAGAATATCATGGCAGCCGTTGGCATTTCTATAGGATATGGTTCGCCTTTAACTCTTACCGATACTTCAAATAAGATAAAGAAGGGAACCAAAGGGGATGCGTCCATGTTAAGGCCAACATTGATGGCTTGCGTTCCAGCAATTTTGGATCGTGTTCGTGATGGTGTCCGCAAGAAGGTCTGGAAAAGAAAAGAAACAAAAAGAAAGCTATTGCAAATTAAAAGCTTTATGAGGAATTTTGTTTTCTTTTTATATAAAGTACTCCCTCCATCCCGTTATAAGATCATATTTGGACAAGGTAGAATTTTTTTTTTTTTTTTTGCGGTAAAACACATATGTTGATCTATTTTTCATTAACTAAATTATTAACCCCCACCAAATCAATAAAAAAACAAATAAATAGATATATTTTATCGATTATAAGTGTAAAAATACAAAACTAGACTTCTTTTTGGGGTAAAAGATGTCAGACACAGTTCGTATAATTGGATTGAGGGAGTTACAAGTGTTAATGGTAATTAAAATGATCTTATAATGTCTTTATTACTACTTTCCAAAACTTCATTTGTAATTTATTGGCTGTTGGAAAATTTCAGGTGGATGCTACCGGTGGGTTGTCGAAGACTTTGTTTAATATGGCGTATGCCCGTCGGTTGTCTGCTGTAAATGGCAGTTGGTTTGGGGCTTGGGGCTTGGAGAGGATTCTCTGGGACTTTCTGGTGTTTCGGAAAGTAAGAGCAATTTTGGGTGGTCGAGTACGTTTTGTTCTTTCTGGTGGTGCTCCTCTTTCTGCTGATACTCAGAGATTTATCAACATTTGTCTTGGGTTAGTGGATTAAATTAAAAGCTTTAAAGTACACGACATGTATTGTATGTTATTTTCTGTATCTACATATGTTTTTTAGAATGGATTGAATACCTGGTATGTATTATTTGTGTTCATGTAATTTACAGTTCTTGACGTAGTGCGCAGTTCTCTGCTTCAAATCTTTTATGTGACTGTGTTCATTTGTTCTGTTTCTGATTTTTTTTTATCCCTTCGATGTATTATTTCTGCAGTGCTCCTATTGGGCAGGGATATGGTCTCACAGAGACCTGTGCCGGGGGGACATTCAGTGAGGTGGATGATGCATCTGTCGGTAGAGTCGGTGCCCCACTGCCTTGCTCATATATTAAGGTAAGCTAAAAACAGGTTATTTACTGTTCATATGTTGCATAAATATTGTGCTTCCTGGAGTGCTGCTGGATAATTCCCTGATTTCAACAAGAGTAACAATAATAACAAGTAAGGGTTTGTACTTGCTTGTATACTTCGTAAAGGTCCAGTTGGACTTGTCTGTGAACAGATTCTTTGTACAACTGCATATGGATGAATTCTGAATTGTTTTTAAGTCTGCTATACATGTCGATTATTTAGAGACTAACATTCTGTCATTTTTCGTGTGAACATTTTGCTTGCTGTTTGAAGCTTTTCTGCTCTCTTTGCCTAGATAATCATTGTATGTGAATTTGTCGTTTACTTGAATGTACCATTTGCTTCATGGTTTTCGAGTAGTCTCTACTTGATTGTGTATCTCGAGATTAAGTCTCATGTTGTTGGGGTTTTGCTTAACGAAATTTATTTTGATTACGATATTATTTTAGCAACTATTCCTTTCTGTCACCTTTACACTACATGGTTTTAGTTGATAGATTGGCCTGAGGGTGGATATCTAACAAGTGACTCTCCTATGGCGCGCGGAGAGATTGTTGTTGGTGGGCCAAACGTTACAGTTGGATACTTCAAGAATGAAGAGAAAACCAAAGAAGTGTACAAGGTAATGAGGTTCTTTCTGGTTTAAGAGTTTTGCTCTTCTTTTTCTTTTTTTTTTTTTTCCTTTTTGTTTTGTCTGGTAGAGATTCAAGCACCCACTTGAACCCGCTTTTCTTGCTTGAAGGTTGATGAGAGAGGCATGAGGTGGTTCTATACAGGTGATATTGGGCACTTTCATGCTGATGGTTGCCTTGAGATAATTGATCGTAAGAAGGACATAGTAAAACTTCAGCATGGAGAGTATGTTTCTTTGGGAAAGGTGATATAATGTCTACTCCTTGGCTCTTGGATCTCTGTTTGAATATAGTTGTTCCTCAGTCATCGCTATTGTTTCTACAGGTTGAGGCTGCTTTAATTGTTAGTCCATATGTTGACAACATAATGTTGCACGCCGATCCATTCCACAGCTTCTGTGTTGCGTTAGTTGTGGCTTCCCAAACTACCGTTGAAGACTGGGCATCAAAGCAAGGGATTCAGTGGGTAGACTTTGCAGACTTGTGCCGAAAAGAAGAAACTGTGAAGGAAGTGTCTGGTTCACTTTTAAAGGTATATTCTGCTTTTGGATTCAGCTAAAACACTTCTCCCTTTGCTTTTCTTTTCTTTTTTTTAGTTCATGTTTTTGTTAATGTAAAACTCTGACCAGAGTTTATATGCGTGCAATTATTTTGTTGTCATTTTCATGAAAACAATATGTTTCCACCATAAACTAAAAGTAGCAGCTATTGCTGGATGTCCTTGAGAGCTTATTAGTTTTTCCAGTGACAATCTTACTAACATGAAATCCTTACTCCTTCAGGCTGCAAAGGCTGCACGCCTCGAGAAATTTGAGATTCCTGCAAGGATTAAACTTCTATCAGAACCCTGGACACCTGAATCAGGTCTTGTGACTGCGGCTCTAAAAATCAAGAGAGAGACCATTAGGAAGGTGTTCTCAGATGATCTAGCCAAACTCTATTCAGATTCATGAGTTAGCACATTTTGATGACTATGAGTATACTATGTATCACTAATTTCTTCTCGGATTACATCGCAAAACAAAAATTGTTGGTTTATTCAATTTTGCCGCCTCAACCCTTCTCCTGAACTACCATATTAAATTCTTGTACCACGCGGGCAAATTGGGATGGTGGGTAGTAAATTATTCTGGGAGTTGATAAATTGAGACCAAATTTTTTTTAATTACCTACAATACCCTCATGTAAGATTTTAAAGATTTTAACTTATTTATCTTTTTCGTAATTATATCCCTCCTTTTCTTGATCCACTTCCTTTCGCAACTGGCTGGTTCATTTAACTAAGAAAAAAGTTACTTTCGTTAAGAGAACAACTAAACTACTTGATAACCCAATAAAAAAAGCAGCCATTGTCTGCAAAATATCAATGGCTGCACTATAAGATTTGACTCCAAAATCCCATGGAGACGTGAAACGTTTATTTTAAAATGAATATTGTTGACAAATAAATTGTAGTATCAATTTTTTTTTTAATCTAAAACCAGCACTTGTAACATGAGAAATTCAACAAAACTTCCTTAATGTAATCAAAGATTGAAAAAGGCAGTCCCAGCATTCATGCTGCAACGATGACTGCAGAAAAAGGAAGATTTCTTTGTCAAAATCCCTTGAAACAATATCTAACCACAATCAATATGCTACTAACTTAGAATACGATTATGACCTTTCTTCAGTTGGTGCATAGGAGCGCTAGTAACCAGTTAAGAAATTTTTGTAGTTTAAATTTATTAATTAGAATGAATACAAAAATCAACATATAATTGTTCAATGAAGTTTGGCATTTTTAATGAAGCTATCCACAAATCCCTCATCTTGGGATAATTGAAGAGGGAAAGCTGAGGAGGTAAGGAGATAATTGAGGAAAAATAAATGGAATAAATCTCTTAACATTTTACACAAGGGTATTATTGGTAATTGATTAAATTTTATTCTCAATATTAAAAAAAAGGCTTTCCATGTATCAATTGCCAATTATTTTGAATAGTAAAAGTCTGTGGCATTCTGGTAATATTCTGAATTCAGCGTGTAATAAAAAATGAAAAAAAAAAAAGATAATAATGGAACGATTTGGTAGGTAATTTTTTTACCTAAACTATGACGATGGGGTCCTGATTTCTGTTGAGAATCAAATTCAATCATCTCCTTAGTGTTAATTGCAACGTGATTTCTTGGCAAAGCCGCTAATGATACAAAGTGTTGCTTTTTACAGCTTATTTTGCCAAAGTATAGAGCATATAGGGTGAAACTTTAATGGAGTGACAAAATTTTCCTTCGTTAGGTTTCAAAATGATTGTCACTTATGTTACTCCCTCTGTTTTAAAATAATTGTCCAAATTGAGTATTGAGTTTTGCTCTTTCTCCGTCCCAGAAAAAATAATCCACATTGAGTTTTTTAGTTTTGTACTTTTTTTAGTAAAAATTTAAAAATTCAATGTGTACTATTTTTTTAAGGACGGAGGTAATATTATTTTTAGTATAAATTTAAAAATTTAATATGAACTATTTTTTCGAATTAGAGATAGTAAATAAAAACAGAACGTGTGCTTTATAATGCCAGCAAGGAAAATGTTGGTCAATACATTTTCTTGACCCTAAATACCTGACATGATCCGGTGTGGATGTCTAATGTCTTGGGAGTGTCAATTGTCACGGTAACAAGACCCTGCTCCTATTTGTAACTAGAAATTGAGCTCAATAGAAATTCGATTCAATAGCCCATTAACTATTATGTATATAAAAAGGTAAATTATTATCTCTTTTCTTTTTGTTTTATTCTTCACTAATTACATTTGATTTTTTTATAATTTTTAATTATTTGTTTCTTTTTAAATATATTTTTATTTTCTTATCAATTATTTATATTTGAGTGCATAAGAATTTAATTTGTGTTTTTTTAGTAAAATAATACTTTTGAAATTCATAATGCAAATTTAAATTTCTATTTGAAATTCATCACGCAAATTTAAATTTCTAATTGTTATTTTTATTTATGTCAATTTGTTATAAATTTATTACATTCAAATTAAATTTATTATTACGCTCTATACATATTCGTATATCTCTCTATATATAAACATATTTATAATTCTCAATAAGCATATTAGTATGCCTTCATATACATGTGTATGCCATCATGAACATCTAGTAGGCCTTCGTATACATTGTCGCATGATTTTATATACATGTATGTCTTCATATATATATATATATATATATATATATATATATATATATTCGTATGCCTTCATATACATCTCGTACGCCTTTGTATACATTTCGTATGTGCAAGAATGTATACGAAGGTATACGAAAATGTATATGGAAACATACGATGTCGAATATTTTCATATACATTTTCGTATACATTCACATACATTCTTACCTGCTTTTAGATATTCGGATATCTTCATATACATTTTCATATGCCTTTATATACATATCTACATTAATGCATTGTAATCTTCATATACATTCTTGTATACTTTCGTATACATTTTTACATGCCTCCATATATAAAGTAATATGCCTTATACATTCTTATATACCTTCGGATGTACACGAAAGTAACCTAAACCCTAAACCCTAAATACTAGATCCTAATCTAATTGAAATGTTTAAACCTAAATCCTAAACACGAGACCCTAACCTAATTGAAATGATTAAACCCTAAATCCTAAACACATTATTTTTTATTCAGTTTAAATTTTTGTAATTCAATTAGGCTAGGGTCTCGCCTAATTGAATTACAAAAATTTATAAGTTAATTGTGTTAGGTCACACACTAGATCCTAACATAATTGAAATGCTTAAACCCTAAACTCTATAAACACTAGACCCTAATCTAATTGAAATGCTTAAATCCTAAACCCTGAACACTAGAACCGAACCTAATTGAAATGCATAAACCCTAAACCCTAAACACATTATGTTTTTTATTCAGTTTAAATTTTTGTAATTCAATTAAGCTAGGGTCTCGTAAAGTCTAACTGAATTACAAAAATTTATAAGTTAATCATATTACGTCACACACTAGACCCTAACTTAATTGAAATACTTGAATCCTAAACCCTAAAAATTAGACCTTGAAATGCTTAAACCCTATACACGAAACCCTAATCTAATTAAAATGTTTAAATCCTAAACCCTAAATACTAGACCTAACCTAATTGAAATGCATAAACCCTAAACATATTATGTTTTTTATTCGGTTTAAATTTTTGTAATTCAATTAGGCTAGGGTCTCATAAAACCTAATTGAATTAAAAAATTTATAAGATAATCACGTCACACTCTAGATCCTAACTTAATTGAAATACTTAAATCATACACCCTAAACACTAGACCTTAACCTAATTGAAATACTTAAACACTAAACCTTAATCGAAACTTTGATCTAAAAAAATTACGAATTTTCGTAATTATGATTGAAAATCAATGACTTATTTTTTATTTAAAAATAAATTAATAGACAATATACATAAAACATTATAAATATACATTATACATAAAGACATAATCAATATACATAAAACATAAAAAAAAAAGTGTCAAAATTATTAGTATGTATATGTGAGTTAATCAATCAATAATGTAACTTCATGTACATAATTGTTAAACTGCATATACATGGTTAAAAGGTCAAATAAATTTTGAATTAAAATTTTAACTCTGAAAATATTAACAATGGATCTTAATAGAAAGATCTCGTCGTGAAGATTGATTTGATATATAATATGTTTTTTAATTATTTATATATTAAAAGATATGATTGTTTGAAAAAAATAGTAAAAAGTCAAAAAACAAAAAAAAAAGAAAAAACAAAAATCAGTAAAAGGCCGCGCATGTGATGCACTCGCAGACTGCGGGTAGCTTCCTTTACCCACACTACTGGCCGGGTGTTTTTGGCCCAATTGTCGACAATTTATTGGGTGCATTCGGGACACCATACTCCCCTTCTTATTTTTTGCATTACTAGTCTTTATTGTACTTTCTTTACTTTTTCTAATAATCTTCTTATTATTTTCAAGTTTAGTCCATGTCACTTTTTTCTCGAATTTTTTCTTTAAATATATTTCCTTATATATACCTGGACAAAAATAAACCTTCCAAAAATTTTGTGGACAAACTTATATGTCCCGAATTTCAGAAATCCGAATGGGGGGTAAACTCGGATTTCCAAAATCCGAACCCCTGTAAACTCGGATGAGAGAAATCCGATTTTGCGTTATGTAAATTTGATATTAAGTTAATGGCAGAAGTTAGTGTAATTAATCTAAATTCGGATTTTTTAAATCCGTATATACGAATAAAATATTAATTACCGGATAGAAAAAAAAAATATGTGTTGAAAACTTAAATTTGGGAAAACCCGGATCACGGTGATCCGAATGAAAGTAGATTCGGATTACCGTAATCCGAATCTCCTCTGTTTTCTGCAAAATGCTAACTCCCAGTTGGCTACAGATTCGGATTTGTGAAATCCGAATCCTTTACAAAAAGTCTGGGTTCGGATTTCGTAAATTAGAGTCTATGTCAGAACTGAAAAAAAAATTGGACTGGTTTTAACCAGTCCAAAGCATGTTTACAGCACCAACAACAATGAAACATTGGAAAACAAAAATTTAATGGCAACAAAACAATAAACGGCATTCGATTAACAACAAAACAAATCAAGTTTCATACCAAAATCAATACAAAAACTACTTTAAATGTGTAAAATACATCAAAGGTCTCATTTTTTCCCTCTTCCTTTATTGTGTGCAGGAGGAGTGTATTTATTTGGGCCCTGTCGGATCCTGTCTCCCCTCTAAAGATACGTGAGTATTGAACTCTGTTGTGGGTCCGACTGTCCACCGAACTGAGGCTCGGGTTGGGGTTGGGATTGGGACTCTCCCATGGTGAGAAATTTGACTTTCGGTTGTGGTTGCGACTATCCACCAAGCTGAGTCTCGAGTCCACTAAGGTCAAACTGAGTCTCGGGTCCACCAAGGTCAAAATGAGTCTCGGGTCCACCAATGTCTTCAAATTGAGTCTCGACCTAAATGCGCGAGCCTCGAGAAGAATGTGCTTGATCCTCATTTTGTTGACCCTCAGTTTGTTGTTGCGATATCCGAGGGGGAATTGGAACCTTTCTCTTTCTTCCTCCTCCAATCTTATCTCTCGACCACGGTTTCGGTTTTTTACCCGGCGAAGGTTGTGAGGGCAAAGATGGATCTTCATCAACCAGGCTTTGGGTATCCTCCACGTCCAT